CTCACACACAGACAAAACACACACTGAACAACACTGTCTCACACACAACACAACACTGAACAACACCATCTCACCCACTGGGACACACACACTGAACAACACTATCTCACCCACTGAGACACACACTGAACAACACTATCTCACGCACTGGGACACATACACTGAACAACACTATCTCACCCACTGGGACACACACACAACACACACTGAGCAACACTATCTCACCCACTAGGACCCACACACAAACACACACTGAGCAACACTGTCTAACCCACTGGGACACACACAAACACAATGCACACTGAACAACAATATCTCACACAAGAGAGGGCAGGCTCAGTGACCACAGCCTGGACATAGAAAATGGACACGGACAGACCTGGCTGTCCAGAGAGGACAGGCTCAGTGACCACCGACAGTAGGGAAAAGCAGAGACAGAGATGCTCTTTCTGTTGTTGTGTAAGAAACTTTCTAGGATTAGACAAACATTCTTCTCTAAAATAAAATATAATCCCAGAATTCTTTATCTTGCCAGTATCAGAACAGCTGATTCACGTGGAAGAAATTCAACAGAGCTGCAGCTCATAGTGTGATCTCCTGTCACAGCCTGAGGAACAGAGAGCAAGCGTGTCTCACAATCCTGTTTTATGTATTATGTGATGTGTGGAAAATATCCAATGATATATTAGTACTGTAAATGTCGTGTTGATTCTATTGCTTTGGCAAGACTGTAACTCATTGGCATTGCCAGTATAGCTAGATGAATTCGAACTGAATTGAGGAAGGGAGACAGAGATAGAGGGAGACATGGAAAGAGAGGGGGAGAGGAAAAGAGAGAGGGAGAGAGGAGAGAGAGGGAGAGCAGAGAGCAATAGGGAGAGAGCAAGGGAGGGGGAAAATATTATAGAAAGAGAGGTTGGGACGGAGGATGAATGAGAGAAAATCTATTGAACAAGGAGAGATTAAAGGATGCTGCGCTTCAGAGGAGGATGAAACGACTCCCCTCTCACCTGCCAAACACTGTGAGCTAACATCAGCTATGCAAATGGAGAGTATTGTTATTGTTTCTCTGTTCAATGGCTTTGAGTTTTGCAATATAACCTAGACAAAAAAGCAGTAGAAACACCCAGGACTCAAGGGCTGTTTTGCGGTTTGTGAGTTTATAAATGAATCTGAAACATGAGCAGATAGCACTGGACACAGCTGTAGTCCTGCTTGTCACTAAGGAAGTGACCTCACTGTTTCCAGGCCTGGTGAGCCGAATGAAGTACTTTGTTGCACACAAGACCAGGTGGAGCTGTTTCTATGGGCCAGCTGTCATTATCAATAGAGGGCTAATTAAGTCAACACCATCTTTTTGACTAAATTAATATGCTGAGACACCTAAGTGCTCTCTCCACCTCTCCAAAGCACAGGGATCAGAGAAGATGTACATTGTCTTTCTTCCTGCTGAATTGCAGCTACATTTTCTGGTAACTGAACCTCATTTGTTTTGTACCAGATTACCCAAACATTCAGCAAACTAGAACAAAAAAACTTTTTTTTTTGCTTGAATTGCATGTATTGACAGTTTCACATGGGTGCCATGGTGGTGCAGTTAGCATTGCTGCCTTGTAGCACTGGGACCCCTGTTTCAATTCTGGACCTGGGGTCCTATCTGTGTGGATTTTGCATGTTCTCCCTGTCTTTGTGTGGGGTGTGCTCTGAGATGGACTGGTGCCCCGACCAGGGGGTACCCTGCCTTGTACCCGCTGCTTGTCAGGATAGGCTCTGAGGTCCCTGGAACCTTGAACTGGATAGTGTTTAGAAAACTAATGGAAGGACAGTTACCATGAGACCTCCAACAGGTATAACATCTGAACGTAATTTAATCAAAGAGAGTATGGTTCAGTTATGTAACTGAAAGCTAAACAGAAATAGACACAAGTAGGAGTGAGGGCTTCCATCCCCAAGAAATTTAGGAATCCCTGTTCTAGAAAATCTCAATCACAGTTATCTGAAGAATCAATCACAAAGAAGTAACTGATTCCAGGATGTCATCTAGCCATTTCCTTGAAAGAAGCCAGAGCATTGTCTTTAACAACATGGCTGGGTAGCTTGTTCCCTGCTCCCACCACCCTTAATGTAAATCTTATGTGTTTCAATCTGTTTAATCCCATGATAGACAGTTGCTCACAATATCAGATTTAACTCGCCTGAAGCAGGATAACTGAGCAAAGGAGCCCTGACACGAGCCGACCTGTTTCATTCATCTAGTTTTGCAAATTGGGTTCAGTTTTCCGAGTCCGGTCCTACCTCTCGCAGAGCCATGATCTGTCCAGAGTGTCTCTCTCTCTGTCCACGTCCGTGCCTCTGCGGCGCTGGGTACAGAGGAACACAGAGCTCTCCGCTCTCATTTCAAGAGCTTCTAGGAGGTCCTACTACCCATAGCAACCTCCCCCCGCCTTTCAGTCTTCAAAGATAAAAGCCCACCCTCCCACTCCAGACCTGAAACGATCCTCCACTTAACCTCCTCCCCTCCCCTCTCTGCTCACAGCCATTTCTCAGCAATAACGGTACAACACAGGACTGCGGTCTGACCGGACTCAGGCTGTGAGGAATCTTCCACAGAGTGCGACTCACTCCTCTCCAGTCCTCTGCATACACTTCTCCATTCAGTGCCTCCTGGGGAGATCCCAGACTTCTCTCTCCACTGAACTAGAAGAGACGAGGTAGTCCACGCCAGCCAGATAGCACCACTCGAAACATAGGTTAAAACAGACAAGGCCAGGCTTCTTTTTCTCCAGCAAACTGGGTCCATCTCACTTCGACACCCTTTCTGGCACAAGACCAGGGTGTCCAGCTAATAAACCCTGCCGGCCCTGGGTCCTCCCTTTTCCTCGGAGAGCTCGACTCAGCTGGGTGCCTGGTCTGAAAACAGCGCCTCCTACAGCACGGTGCTTCCACTCACCAGTCCCAGTCAAGAGGGAAGAGCGCCACCTACTGGTCCACCCTCCCCGGTTACAGCAGCAACATGATTTTCCTTAGAGGTCTCCCCTCAAGCCAGGTGGTGGTAATGCAGCAGCAAAACTGGCCTGTGAGATCATAGCAATTCTTAATTGCAGGAGACTGAACTTTAAACCAGTAATGTTATTATATATATATATGGGTGTGTGTGGGGCCCTGCTGGCCGTCTCGGTGTGTTAAAATGGGACAGAATTCACCCCGGGCGGAGCTGCGCAGAGGGTGGAGGCACACCCGCCAGAGGAATACCGGACTAGTACCTCGTTCAGCTTCTTGAACTCAAAGTCCCGACACCACCGTCCCGCAGAGCTCCTTCAGGAATGCCACAGGGACAGTGTCCCAGGGATCCTGTCACAGGTATGGGAAACGAGCTTCTCCGGGATCCGTGGAGAGCCGGGTGGTGCACCGTCTGCGGGCCAGCGGACTCTGAATTCCTGCCACGTGTACAGACAGGGCTGTGAGCACTGAACAGAGCGGGCCTGGCAAGGCTGCGTGTCTGCATACACGCGTGTGTGTGTGCTCCCGAGTGTCAACACTGGTCCCAAGGTGTGCAGCCTGTGTGCTTTCCCCATTATCCAGAGCCTTTTTCCTTTTGGATCAAAAGACAGAAAAAGAACCGGAATATTCAGACTTCTAACAAGGGGAAAGAGAAAAGGATGCTGGGACTGAATTTTAAATCCACGTATGCAGCCAGTGAGCGAGATAACAAGCTCACAACAGATCGATTCACCAATCAACGCCTTTAGGCAGTAAAAGAAGCCAAAAGCTCTTTTTTGCATCAGATTCTTCTATAACAAGTCCCTGCGCTCGCACCCCCCCCCCTCCCTCCTTGTGCAGTGCAGAGCGAGTTGCCACGGGAACAGCCTCCCTCTGAACTAGAGAGCCCCTCCTGCATTGCCGTTGCCATGGGGACAATTGTGATGTCCTTCATCCCAGAGAGAGGCCCCCAGATGAAAGAGCTCAAGTAACAGCAGACACCCAGGACCGAGAGCACGGCTGAGCTGTCCCGACAGATTCACTGCTTCTGCCGACGTCGGTCTCCGCCTGGAGTGGACAGCAGCCCACCAGGAACAGTGCACATACCCGAGAGCTGGCTCACCCCCATCTTACACCACTGCAGTAACAGGACACTGCCGACACATCTGGAATTGGCCAGTTCTGACGCTCTGTCCAGTACTCCATATCCTAAAATACTCACACCCCACACTCCGACAGGAGCAGCACAAGCAAGAGACCAAGCCCATAAAAACTGAAACTGGTGTCAAAGTGCACTAAAGCACAGTGAAACTATGGTAAAAGCACAATAAAGATTAGTGGAATCATGGTAAAGAGTAGTCGTGTCCAGTGAAACTGTGATAAAATTACAATATAGTATAAACAACTGAAATAATGTTAAAAGCACAGCAAGGACCAGAGAAATCATGGCTAATGTCCAGTATGGAGTAGTCATAGCCAGTGGGGTTGGGGTAAAAGCACAGTAAAGGACAGTGAAATCAGGGCAGGAACAAGCCGAGGGGACTCCCTGCGGAGAACAGCCCGGGCAGCTCCAGGACGAGTCCAGAACGAGTGCTTTGTGCCCCATTGTCTGAGGGGATTAGTCCCCTCCTGCTGCTGCCCTGGGACCCCTAAACCCCTCTTTTGTGGCTGCGAGGCCTCTCTGGAAGGCAGTGCCCCCCGCTCCCGGGCACAGGCTCTGTTCAAACCCGCTGTGTGGGCACTTTCCTGCCCCCCACCCCCGCGGCCGGACTGCTGACGGCAGGACAACACAGCCTCCCTCCCCAGCAGGGCCTGGCCTCACGCCTCCCCTGAAGCGCTAACTCAGGCCATCCGACAACAACAGCGCCATTGTCACCCCCTGCCTGGGTGTGCGAGGGAAACAAAACAGAAGCAGGAAGAGAGACAGCAGAGAGGAGAGGGCCAGGGCGAGGAGAGAGGAGACGGCCAGGGGAGAGGAGAGAGACAGGGCAAGGAGAGGGATAGGGCGAGGGGAGAGGAAAGAGGAGAGGGACAGGGCAAGAGATGGATAGGGTGATAGGAGGGAGACAGGAGAGGGTCAAGGTGAGAGGGGAAGAGAGGCGCAGTGTCCCATCAGCCCTGGGGAAGCTCTCGGAGTCCTGCTGTCTGTTGGAGGGCCTGGGCTGGTATTAACCACCCCTCCCCTCTCCTGCCCAGCAGGGTCCCACTCAGGTGCGAGTGACAGGACAGACAGCTGCAGCCATGTGCAGCAGACAGACTCCTCAGAGAGGGAGAGGAGCAGGA